TCTTTATATGGACTTCAACAAGCACCTAAACAATGGCATGAAAAATTTGATCAATGTGTATTGACTAATGGCTTTAGGTCAAATGAAAGTGATAAGTGCATTTATTATAAATTGTTTGGAGACTCTCATTTGATAATTTGTTTATATGTTGATGATTTATTAATATTTGGGACTAATACGCAAGTAATTGAGGTTACAAAAGCATTACTTAAAAGTAATTTAGAAATGAAAGACTTAGGTGAAGCTAATGTCATACTTGGTATGAAAATTACAAAAAATTCAGAAGGAATTTTTATTGATCAATCTCACTATATTGAAAAAATATTTAAAAAATATAATTATTTTGATTGTAAACCAGTTTGTACACCCTTTGATTCTCATGTGTGTTTATTTCCTACTAAAAATGATTCTGATGAGATAAATCAAAAAGAGTATGCTAGTATAATTGGTAGTTTGAGATATGCAACTGATTGTACTAGACCTGATATTGCATATGCAGTTGGTGTACTTAGTAGGTTTACTAGTAAACCCAACTTTACACATTGGAATGCAATTCATAGAATCATGAGATATCCTAAGAGAACTTTAGATTATGGTCTATTTTATAAAAAATATCCGGCTGTACTTGAAGGTTTTAGTGATGCAGATTGGAGTTCACAATCTAGTGATTCTTTGTCCAATACTAGTTATTTATTTACATTGGGAGGTGGAGCCATTTGTTGGCAATCCAAAAAACAACATATAATCACAAAGTCCACCATGGAAGTAGAGTTAATTGCTCTTGCTTCTGCATGTGAAGAAGTAGGTTAGTTACATGATTTACTATCTGAAATTCCAATGTGGAATAAGCCGATACCTCCTGTTTTAATATATTGTGATAGTACCGCTGCTATTGGCAGAGTTCACAATAAATATTATAATGGAAAATCCAGATCTATAAGGAGAAAACACAGTACTGTGAGATCATATTTAAATAATGGTTCATTAACCATTGATTTTGTGAGATCGGGCGATAATCTTGCCGATCAACTTACAAAAGCTCTGGCTAGAGAAAAGATCTGGAAAGCATCAAGAGAGATTGGATTAAAGCCCAAAAATGCAAAAGCTACCTATGAGGATACAACCACCTAGGGACTGGAGATCCCAAGAACTAGGTTGGAGACAAACGAATCATAGAGTCGCTTGTTGTGATACATGCAAATTTTTAGTCTAATCATATGATGCTATGCATGTAATTCTGTGATGAATATGAGAGGTTAAGAACTAATCTCTTAATGAGTTCTATAGCCCTTATGGGTGGGATGTGTTAGTTACAGAAACATCCTTAATAGACTCACCTATATGAGTGTAAGGGTTTGGCTGCCCTTATGAGAATTTGGGCTAATTCTCTAGAGCACTCATGAACACTGGGGTAAAGTACATGGCCATAATGTACTGGCTTGAAAAGCTCGTTTAAGAACACCTAGAATATCATGTATGTTAAGTTTTCTACGTTTCCTCAAGTAATCATAGTTTAAAGGCTAAGTCCACTATGATTCTAATACGGGAAAACTTAAACACTAAATGAAAGTTTAAAGGCATTGCCACTTTCATAAGGCATGATGTTCTCACTATATGCCCAAACTATTTTTATTAAAATAAGTGGGGGATTGTTGGATATTTTAATAAAAATATCATTATTATTTTGAATTCATTCACATGCTTATTTTGAATTCAAATGCAATAAGTTACAAATTTTGAAATGAATTTTCAATTACAAGATCACCATTAAAAAGGGTAACTTATGAGATTTATGTCTTGTATTTGTAACCTATGTAATGATTAGGTTTTAAGAATTTATTTATTGAATTTTGACTATTATACAATGACCTAGACCTTTTCAAATTTTGTAACTGAAAAATATGACACATTTATTCCATTTAATGGTGGTATTCTAATACTCCTAAAAATTTAGCCTATAAATAGAGGTCACTATCAACCAAGTTTGACACACTTTTCTTGCTATCTCAAAAAAAAACTATCTTCCTCTCATTTCTATTGGGCATTAGTTAGGTGTTGAGAAAAGCTTTAGCTTCTCTAAATTGTGTAGATTTAGTAGAAGCAACAGCATAGGCTAGGCTGTTGTATCCCAGAGGCAACGTGCCATCAACCTTCTACACCGGGCATAATCCCGAGAGGGGCGCGAATCGTCTTAAAAGAGCGACCTAATCCGCGCCTCATCTAGTCAAAATTACTTTATTTCTCTTTCTTTGACTTTTTTTTTGCAGGTTGATCGTGCATATCAAGTTCTAAAGGAACAACAAAGTCTCTGTCAAAGAGCTGGATACAATAATTGTTTTTATTGAGTAGGGTGAAGAGCACGACACTTCCTTCATGTAAGAAATATTTGTGTGCAAATGTTGGCCAACCTTCTGCTATCTGCATCCCTTCTAGCTGAAAGATCCATCGAGTTTTAGTATGATAGCAATTGATGATTCCTACTTCATTTGTTTGTATATATATTGGTATATCACCGATGACGATCTGAGATAGAAAGCAGGGAAAAAAATGATCGAATAATCATATATTTGTATTTAATGATCGAAATTGAGAAATCATATATTTGTATTTATTGATCAAATAATCATTTTTCAATTCAATGAATATTGGATCGATTCATTTCTAAATAAATGTCGCTGGAAGGAATAATACTTGCATTAATTTTTCAAAATTAATAAGATAACACAATTTCGAACAGTCCGTTAGTTCATTGATATGGAAAATTAATAATGCTTGATTCAATAGCATACACGAATAAATATTTATTTAATGATTAAGTAATTTATTTATTCATTAAACAACTCTTACTGTAAATCAACCAATAGCACATCGACTCATGCGTAAGGGAAATTTAAATTATGATTAGCTGACCCGAATAATACTCATTATCTGTTAATATGAAGTGGCATAATCGATTTATATGTGTTAGATACACATAGAATTTGTATTGTTTTGTATATATTAGATGCCCACAGATTTTTTTATCGATTCGTATATTTTTTCGAAAATCAATATCTTTGTTAATATATACATTTTGGAGAAAGTTAATAAATATAAAAGAGCAGAGGAAATTATATTTTGAAGAAAGCCATGTTAATACAAAGTTAGGAAATCATATTTTTGTGGAAATTATATTTTGAAGGAAGTTAATAAATAAGCGAATAAATATAAAAGAGCAGGGAAAATTAGAAACATAAAAATGGGTCCTTTTTTAAACCATAAAAACGCACACAAAGGAAACGGCAGAAGATAGCAATTACAGGAGTACAAGATAGAAGAAACATTTTTGAATGATAAGAACGCACCCAAACAAAACGGGTGAAGATAACAATTGCGGCAGTAGAAGATATAGAAGAAACAAAAGGACAAAATCGATTGCAAAATTACAAAGGAACCAAGAGAAAAGGGCACAATCGGAACAAGGCAACAAAAACAGAAATGAGGAAAATCAGCCACACAATTGCATTGAAACCAAGACAAATAACTGTAGCTGGAGCCTCGCGGCTTTATATAGTTTAAGAAGATTAAGATAAGATAAGATATATATATTCAATCAAATTGTGATTTAATAGAAAATACCCCATTTGTTATAACATGTCCACTATGATAAAATTTCTAGGTATAACTCCAACAAAAAGCATATGCTACATGATGTTGTTGTTATTATTATTGTTCACAATTGTAAAGTTCGAAAGTACGTAAAATCACAAATGATTTAATAAGTTGGCGTTCGAAAAGGAATTGATGCTGAAAAATGTATCCCTTTGTTTGGATAGTGAATTATTTGTCAAAATTTATTTACTAATATCATCAATATATTTTTTTAATCATCTTTTTTTTTCTCACATACATTACATCAAAAAATCACATTATATAACCTTATCAACTAAGGACGATACATGCAAATTTATAAATTAGTTTTAAGATTTTTAAAACATAATTATCTTGTATCACGTCTTCAAATATTTTAGAACTTGAAGTCTTCGTAATTTTCAACTTTGTGAACACTTTGAAACTTAAAATTTATCGTATTTGAAACGAGTAGAACCTCTACCATAGTGCTTTCCTATTTTTCATCTATTGAGCAAATTACTAATGATTCCCTAATCCAAATATGCAATGGTAATAACAAGGTTCACAAAACTGATTTCCTTTTTTTTTTTCAAATCGCACTTTAACTCATACTATAAACTTTTAGTTTACAAAACTGGAAATAAGTCCCGTTTGGCAAGTGAGTTTTTTGGATGTTTGTCTAAAACTTTACTGTAATTTACTGTAGAAGTTTTTAAAAAAATTTTCGAAGTGTGTTTTTTTGAATATTTTGAAGTGTATAGTTTAAAAATTTTGAAAAGTTTTTTGAGATTATTATAACTAAAGTTTTTAAAAAACTTGTAGCAGACAAACTTGATAAAAAACTTATCTGCCAAACAAAAAATCGTTTCCAACAAACTCATTGAGTTTGTTTGGATAAGAGTTTATTTGGATGATTTATTTGAGATAATTACTGTAGCACTTTTTATGATATGATGTATGTGAGATAAAAAGGTGATTGGGAAGATAAAAAGGTAGTTGAAATTTGTGAAGTAAATTTTTTTATTTGAAATCAAGCCAATCCAAACAAACTCAATGTTTGGATATCAAATTTTTTTCAAATAATATTTCACTTGTATTATAAATATGTTTCCCTACCAACTTTTTTATATTTCTACCTATCTTTTTATCTAGCTGAAATACTCCCTGTGTTGACAAAAAAAAAAATTTATCTTTTTATCTCACATGTTACATCATAAAAAATATATAATAATTATTTCAAATAATATCCTATCCATATTCCTTGGACATCCTGATTCGTGACCCAAGTGATAACAAAATCCTTTTGACCAACGGGACGCTGTGTAGAGGCTTGTCAAAGCAAAGGTACCGTATTTGTTTCCTGTATCGTTATATGAATGCCCGAAACCGTGAGCCACAAAAATAAAATCAAATTCATAAATATAAATTTTTTCGCACCATGTCATCCTCTGCTGCATGCTCTTCTGCTTCTATTTTGAACTCTTCTGCAAGAATTCAAGTCCCAATCTCTAATTTCAGCTTCTACTTTCAGTCTTCCCTTGATTATAATCCTAATTCTAGGTTCAAGAAATACAAAAATTGGGCTTTTTCCAGAAATTTCAGAGATAGATACCATCCCAGAAAATGTTTACACCAAGAAGACAAGAGTTCTCAGTTGTTATCTCCACAAGAAAAAACACCAAATGTTGTGGAAATTTCTTCAGATGACAAGAATGTTGGAATTGGCAGCAGCCCATCAACCAGCTTTCTGTCTTTCCTCTGTCCTTTGCTCAAACTCTTCTCTGTAAGCTTTTCTTCAATCCCACTTTCTTTTTTTTTTTTTTTGCTTTTGAAGTTTTCGTTAGCATTTTTATTATCTGTCCATGTTTTTATTTTTCTGTGCATTTTAGTTGCTTAACAAGATGTTGATTTTGCTCCTTGTCGGTTAGTGAAGGATTATATTGCAAGAGGGCTAGAGAGGGTTAATAGTAGAAAATGTTAAAGATTTGGTTTTGCCTATATTTAAGAATAAGAATGATGTTAAGTAAGTGTGAAGAATTATATAGAATTCCATAAACAAAGAGGAATTTTAGGAACTTTTGGCCTGTTATTTGATGTTGTTCACCTGGTTAAGAAAGAGAGTAGAAGAGTCTATACTATGTGGTTACAATTCTCCTGTTTTGCATAGAATTATTGACAAAAATCATTCAACCTTGTGGTGTAATGGGAATGCTTGGGATTCGGCAACGATTCTCGATGGAGGATCTATTACATATAAAACTTGAATAACTTGTGGCCAGTTTTTCAACGGTGAATCCAGGCTAAGATATATGGATTAGAAACTGCATGATCCTAGTATTGAATCTTGTGTGCTTTTTGTGCCTCTATTGGTTGGAAGAGGTGCTTTTTTTTCCTTTTTTTTCAATCCATTTGAGTGGTCATGGTAGGCAGATATGTCAGCACCAATTTGAATATCTAATTACCCCCTTAAATCTGATGACTTCTTGTTCGAAGATGGTACTTCTAAATGACAAATGTTCGCACACAGTCAATGTGATTTTAAAGAAACAAGACAGGCAGACCAAATTTGATCATCTAGTTGTTTGTTTGAATAGATTTACAAATCAATTTTGTATGGCTTATGTCATTCCTCATTATTGCTCTAGCTTTTGCAGTTCTATTGAGTTCGAGACGTCTATGCAATGATGATATTTCATACCTATTCTATGATTAACAATTTGCATGGGTTTTGTTTAGTTCTTGAATATATGATTGAAAAATATTGCTCATAAGTTCTCACTTACAGAAGATATAGCAAATATGTGTGAAATGAAGGTTTTGATAAGGCTTTTGTTGGACAGAAAACTAACAAGGTTGAAATTGTATGGGATGAAAGGAGCACTAGCTACTTTGTTTTTCTTTAAGTATCTTGATGTCATTCTGGATGAGATTTGATTGTTTTTAAGTTGATTTATTGTTGGATGCCAACTGTTCTGCCTGGAGTCTTCAGCATTTAGCTCAAAAGGTGAAATCCAGATTGTTGTGGAACATCTTTTCTTGTGTGTATTTTCCCTCATGTTGCTGCAATTTCTATCTCTGGTTGTCTATGCTTTTACTTTTTGTTTCCTTTTGTACTTGTCTTACCTTAATTCTCCACTGTTTAATTCCTCACAGGGTGGAGACCCTTCTAAAGAAAGGAACTATTTTTTGGAGGTAACTTTGAACTGTACACTTAAGCATCTAGTGGTTTGAGGTATAAATTCAAAATAGTAATCTGATTCACTCAAAAAAAGAAAAAGAGAATGACTCAGTTAAAATGTTGATCAGTTTCTTTCAATTCTTTCTTTTGCAATTGAGATATTTTCTTTGATATTTTATTGCTGTCCTTTAAACATATTCCCAGCAAAGAGAGTAGCTGAAGAAAAGAAGTAACTAAAAAAAATGGAGGTGAAGATTTTAATAGGAAGAATAACAAATATTTGTGTTTCCATGTGTCCAGTCATCTTGCATTTCTCTGTGCCTTATGGGTTTGAAAAAAATTAAACAACATAAAATAGAATTCTGAAAACTTTGAGGCTGGGTATGCAAACAATATTTATGAGCTCAAGATGATTAATTTGTATGAAGATTAGAATTAATCCCAGTCAAGTAAATTCTGTTTTAGATGATCTTACAAATTTAACTCATTGACGCCCTCAACGTGGATTGTGTTCAGCTTATTGTTTTGTTACTACTAGTACATTAGGTCTTCGATGGAAGGTACATGTAAGCTGAAAAGACAATGCCCTTTATTTATCCTTTTTTTTTTTTTTGGTTTCTTTGACATCATTGCATAGTATAATTTGAAGTGTTAAATGTTTCAGTTGTTTGATGATAGTCTGCAACCTCATTTTGGAAATAAGATTTCAGAGCTTAAATTCTGCATTAATTGTTCTTAGAGATTTCCGTGGAAGGATTAGGCATAGTTTTTAATTTAAGGTGACATAGAAAAATCCCTTTGTTGATCCATTTCTTTGATAACATCTCATTGTAAAATTTGATTTGCTAAATTCTTGGACTATGCTTGTTATCGAAGAAGCTTGGTTAAGAACTTTACTTTTCATGCTCGTAATTCATCATACTGGGGCAGTGACTTAGGAACATTTTATGTATCTTGAACATCATATACTCTGCATGAGATAATTCAAGGAACATATTTTGAAGTTGGTTATGCTTAGCTTCCTTGCATGTCTGGCCAATTTATCATGAAGAATTTGCTCCATGGATAGCTATATTACTCCTAGATGCATGGCAATTGAAAGTACGCCTAGAATAGCTTCACATTTCCACTTGCCTATGAATACTTTCCTTTTCCTTAATTCCATTTCTCAATTACAGGAAGCAATGTCTTCCTTGTCTACTCTAGCAAGGTTTCCTTGGGGATCAAGATCACTAATCGAAGATAGTCAAACAATTAATAGTGTTGATCCTCCTATTCGTTTACAACTCTTTGAATTTGGTGAGCTTCATGCTTATTATGCCACTTTTCTGCATACACCTAACATTTCTTTCGATAATCTGTCTTCGAACTGTTTTTTGATAAGAATATTGCACGAATATTCTGCTCGATTTGGATATGGCTGAAGAGAAAATCTTAAAGATCCAATTAGCTAAACGAGAGTAGTAATGATATTTAACTCCTTGTAGTCTGAAGTCTCAAAGAGAATTGCAGGGGCTTCTTTAATGTTTAGTACTAATGGAAACGTCAAATTTTTTTAACTGTTTCATTTTGATGTTAGACTTTAAAACTTCACTTAATAGTGTTCTTACAATCTCCAAGCTTTTCTTCCAAATTATTTAGTGGAGAATTAACTTCTCAAGTTGTTGAAAATTAATATAATTAACTCTTTTAAAAAAGAAAAGGGAAAATTGAAAAAACAGGATGGTTGCTCTCTGAAGGGAATGCTTTTTTCTCCTATTTTACAAAGACTTAAATTAATGCATTTCAAGGAAGCTTTGTTTACTTATTCCCAGCAAAGCGACTTGCTTTCTGCTAAGGCTAGGTAGAGTAGTTCTTCAATTGGTGTTCGTCGCACAATCTATTTTGCAAATGGCTAAATGTGTATAGCAATTGCATGCAGAAGCATGCCCATTCTGCCGGAGGGTTCGAGAGGCTATAACTGAGCTTGATTTATCTGTAGAGGTAAATCCCGTTGTTCCTTGACATGATTGATTTTTTTTAATCTGATTCTTTGTTAAAATATGCTTGATTTTCTGACTTTCTATTTTTATTTTTAAATGTGTGCAAGTTGGTGGAAAGGATTTCTGGGTTATGTACTAGTCGTCGTGTCTTTTAATCACAAAATCTTACCATACTTTTTTGGATTAATCTTCTATACACTAACAGTGTATACACTTTCACCATTGGATGCATGACACAAAATCCAAATTTGAATTTGAAACCCAAATTTCGCATATGTGTCGTGTATCCAACCGTAATAGTATATACACTGTTAGTGTATATAAAATTTACTCTACTTTTTTTGCATAGCTAATCAACATCTTACACAATATTGTGGATATTTTTCAATTTAGGATGTATCTTTAAATCTATTTTGCATCTTTATGTCTTCACATTTTCAACTACTAGATTATTAAGAGCTGCAATTTCATATTAACTTTTTATATTACTTGAACTATAAATATTACCACTGTTTCCTGAATTCTCTGTATTTCCAGATCTATCCGTGTCCTAAAGGTTCAGTAAGACACAGGGAAGTGGTCAGGAGACTTGGTGGTAAAGAGCAGTATGTTTTATTTTGTTATTGTACAGCATCTTTATCCCCTTTGTCTTCATTCTGACCCCTGGTAGTAATATCCTGCAACATGATGCTGTAGTATATCTGTCTTTTCTAAGCTACAAGAGAAAGGTTATTGAGTAATAAACTCTTACCCACTTCCATATTTGGCTGGATGTGTTTCATGGTTCCAGAAATGGGTGGCACAGAACATCCATTTCAAGGACCTTTTTCCTCCACTAGCCTATTAAAACTAACAGCTCTGTCAAAAAGTTATGCAATTAATATAGATTCTCTCTACCTTATGATCTAAAATATTTTCATTTTTTGTTGACTAGTACCATTCTGCCTAATGCATATTGTTGTTTAGTAGTTGTTTGGCTTCATCTGTGCATTAAAAGTTCCTGGACTAGTACAACTATGCATGTTTAGCTATTAATCCAATATAATATAATCTGAGCTCTGTGCTAAATTGATCTTTCCTATCATCGTAGTACCAAGCTAATGATAACATAAGCTTCATGCAAATTCTAGAGGGACTTCTGCTTAATTTATAAAAAAAATATTGCTTTAATTGTCTTCCATGTCTTCTCTTATTATTGAAAGATGTAATATTTTACTGTTTGCTGCAGGTTTCCTTTCCTGATTGACCCAAATAGTGAAATTCAGCTGTATGAGAGCAGTAAGTGCGATATTGTAGTTTGGATTTCTTTTGGCATGAACTTAGTGATGTATTCTTGATATGATTTGGCTCGTTATGAACAGCACAAATAAGTAATTTTTTTATAATTTCATGTGTTCTGGTTTTCCAGTTGATCAGTTTTCTGCTTTTATGTGCTGAGAACTTGCTTTCACCTGGAAGGCCCCTATATATTTCCTAGTAACAATCATAGGCATTACTGATGGAAGATCTTCCCATTTCTTGAAATCTATTTGGATTTTGAGGGCAAGCATTTTACATGCCTTTCAAGTTACTTTCGTAAATCCATGTACAATGAGATCAGTGCTGAGCATATTTCATTCATGTAGATCACTGAACAGTATATTTGTGATTGACTTTAATAAAAATGATTTGCAAGGTCTAATCTTACCATCCGTCCCACTAAATCAATATGTTGGATGCTATAACTAGTATTATTTAATATTTACATCCTATAATAAATGACCAAAATACTATTTTCCAATGAATCAGGTTCCGTTAATGTTAGTCAAAATCCTGGTAGTGTTGTTTGTTTCTTTTGCACTCTCTTGTGGCAGTCAAAGCAGTGAACTACATGGCAGTGGAATTGAGGAAGCATGAATTTATTATTACAAGAATAAAGATTGAGTGGTTAGTGCTATTTTCTGGTCTTTCTGGAAACTGACGGTGTTGTAGCTTGAAGCTAGACATCTGAGGCTGTTTAAAACAGTAATCATTTTTGACTAGGCCTTGAATTCATTAATAAAAGATAAAATCTGTGAGTTTTTCTTTTGTATTCCAGTAGTAAAATGTGTGAAGGCACTTTGCTTCCGGTACTGCAACCTTTCCAAGTGAATATTAAAGGAACGCTGGTTGATTTTAGTTAGTCATATTGCATCATTTTTCCATTGAAAACTTGCAGAAAATTCATGCTAAACAGGGATATTTTCTTCTGATGTTAAAGTAACAACTTTATTAGTTTCTTTAGTTTGTTGCAGTATTTATTAAACCCTGATGAACAGCCTTTTCTTGGATCAGGAAGGATTGGCCTTATTATTAGTCTTGAGTTATAGGCTACATTCCCCAAACCCCCCAAAGCAGGGGCATCCAGAATTCATAATTAGTGATGCTCCACTGTTGATTTTCTTTGGGGAGTTTTTATGGCAAATGTTCTTCTTTTTAATGGATGGTAGTTACCGGTTATGCAACCTATACTAATCTTTAGCAACTGCATGGAGGCTGGCAATGCCCTTGAGAAACTGATAAAATTTAGAATACTGTGGAATGCTCAGCTGTCTGGAACTGCAAATGATACTTTTCCTTTGGACTACTTGTTACCATTTGTTGAGTACATGTAATTTTCTGTGAGTTACCTGCATATAGTGTATGTTTATGAGTTTGTGATTGCATTTTAGTGTGTCGATGTTTGTCTACACTGTACTTTGTCTCTCAAAATCAAGTTTAGCAAATGTATGATATTGCTTGGAGTTTTCCTGATAATAACTATTCACGGTATAGTTTTTTGGTTAAATAGTTTTGACAATACATGTAGTGTAGTTGTGCTTCTTACATAGTTCTATTGTAATTGATAATGAGCTTGCATCTGCTGATTGTTGTGCTTCTCGTGTGGTATCGTTCAACTGCTAGTTGTTGCCAGTAGATTCATCTAATGAGTCTTTTATAAATCAAGATGTGGTTGATGATTATACCAAAGTTTATTATCAGAATCATGCAGTCTATTCAATTGTCTACATAGGATATGAATTTCATAAAACAGGGGTTTTTACTATTACCTACTGAAAACGGCAAACATGTGAATGGAATAAGGAAGAGATCGGAGTATTGCTTTAAATTTAAAGAAATCTTTTTACCTCCCACTTAGATAAATGAAGTATAGGAATTTAGCCAATTTTTGTGATGATGTTCTAATTGATTTCTCTGATTAAAGTAGCTCTTGAATCTGTCTTAACACTTTTGACCAGAGTTCTATTGGAATTCGCATCCCAACAAAGATTTTAGTTAGGGGATCTAGTTCTCTAAGCTTAGTTTTACCTTCTAAAAAGCTCAAGAGATTCCTGAATTAGATTCTCTTAGATATGTATTGGCCATCATTGATTTAGATGAGTATAAACTTACATGCTATTTTCTTTATCAGGTGATATCGTAAAGTACTTGTTTCAGAAATATGGCAAAGGACGTAGCCCCTCAACTGGCCTTTTGGAAAGGTAGTAATAGTGTAGTTCTCTTGCTCGAATTGTAACTTCTGGATATATATATGTAGCAAAATCTGTCATAGAATCTCCTGTTATTGTAGACACTGGGAACTTGCGCTGATGGCAATATGTGATAGTGTTTTGCTAATACCAGTCATTTATGTTCATTTAATTGGATGATGGACTGAACACTTGCAATGGCCTAGCATTAATTGGATTTTTTCTATACATGCTTTCTGCTAATACATGCATTTGTGCTGCATGAATCCAAACCTCAAACTGCAGTCGTAAAGCTAAATGTGCAAGAAAATTCCCTAACTGAATTATGTCAAGATTGATTTCGATATTTACTTGGAGAATTGGTGCCAATATTGTTATGTAGTATATTTCTTCTAGCTGATAATGCATGTTTGCTTATCATGAACAAAAGTTGTGCTCAGATTATTGCTAACGTCATGAGCAAGTGTTGCGGAATTTTCACAACTGTGAACTATATTCTCTTTTCTTGATTTTCCCAGCGAATGAGTGACCTTACATTATGCAGCACAATAGTCACAGGCTGGATGCCAACTTTACTTCGAGCAGGCCGAGGAATGACTTTGTGGGAGAAATCTAGAAAAGAAGCGCCAATAAAAATGTTGGAGCTTTTCTCATATGAAAACAATCCGGTAAGAAAAGCCCTTCTAAAATGTCATTCAACCAAAATGAATATGCAAACCATTTACTGAACTATTGAGAAGGATAACAATGTTAACACTTCTTATCCTTCTTGACATGGTTATATGGAATTGCTTTTGCTATAAGTGCAATATAAAGCAATGATAGTAGCAATGCATTTGGAAGTATTCGCAACCTTAACATGTTGGGAGTTGCTCCTGCAGTTAGATTTTGACACACGCATAACAGCTTCCTGCTATAGTATCCTTCAAGCAGTACTTACTGTATAATGGTTCAAAAGCCATATTTGAGGCAGAATTTGCAGCCTTGCCCCTGCAGGTTGCTGATCCCATAAATTGAATCCATGGCCACTTAAGTCAAAATGAAGGCATCTTACATTTCTACCAAGCAGGCCCTTTATTTGAGAGATCCTAGATAATCCAGTCAAACAGTCCTCAAAAAGCTATAGTAGCATGAATAACATTGCCACTCAAAATGATTAATTTATCTTCCATCTTCCTCTTTTCAGTATGCTCGGATAGTACGTGAAGCACTTTGCGAGTTGGAGCTTCCATACATACTTCAGAATGTGGCTAAGGGGTCAAAGAGGGCTCCCTTACTTGTCGAAATATCTGGATCAAAAGAGGTATGCTTTGGATATTATTCATTTATGTGCTGGTGAGAACTTGTAAGTTAACTATTCTGGCTTTGTAGTCAAATGTGTGAATTTTCACCATAACAATGAAAAGAAATCACTCTTACCAGTATTATTAACATGAATTTTTAACTTGTTCCAGGGATTTTGTCATGAACCTTGTTTACATTCTGCTTCCAGCTTTATGATGTTATATGTTGGCAGTGACTATACTAAATTGAACTGCTACCTGCTCGTGTCTCTTTATTGGGATGCTGCAAAGTATTAGATACACCTCTTGCATGTTGCATGTTGGAGTATGAAATGGATCTTTGAGCTGAAAAACATTTTGCAGGTGCCTTACCTTGTTGATCATAACACTGGTCAGCAAATTGGTGATTACAAGAGGATTATCCCATACTTGTTTGAGACATATTCTGCTGTCAACATGTAACGTCAAAGTTAACAATCTATGGGCTGAAAAGATGAGGATCAAAGTGGTGCATTGACGATGCTTTTGTAATTTCTGGGGAGCAAAATCGAATTGCCAGTGGCTACTGAATCTTCATCTGAAGTGCTTCAAGATCATTATTATCATTGCTTTGATCTTACCTTCTCTGTTTCAGTACCCGAAAAAATTCCTGACATAGAACATTAATAAACGGGTACCGAGTGCCTTCAACTACTTGATTGTCATATCATCATCGTATTTTATTTTCTTGGAAAAGCAACATTAATAGTTCTTTTGCTCAAAATGTGATGTATCTGTGACATTTTCTAGTGAAAATATGGTTGGAAACATATTCAGAAAATATGGTTGGAAACCAGTAAGAATGCTTTATTTCGTATGCGAGAGGCTAAAATTGAACTTCGATAAAAATGTGAGGGACCATAGGTTTTGTTTCCTTATTTTCTTTCGAAGTTAGTTTTCTAGGAAAGGCTGGCGAAACTTTTTGATTAGTCGTTTCAAAAGTGGTAAGGTTTATCTTTGCAATGGCAAAAGAAACTACATTTGAAAGCTTAAAATTTCTATTTGCTCAAAATTTCGATATTGTCTTGACTATTATTTCTTAGCTAAGAGCTACGTCTGAGTACCGAACTCAAACTACGTCAAGGGACTCGCTTACATTTTCTGTTTTCAAGATACACAATGGATACTACTTCGACAAGTCTAATAGTTGGTATTTGATTAATAATATAAATATGAAAAATTTAAATTATCTTGTTTTGGTTCGAGGGGAGACTTGAAATTTTACACCCCGGAAAAAAACGAGCTCAAAATGTTGCGGCCTCCTGACTAATGTTCTTACTGGTTAAGTTGAGTCTTGACTTAGAAAGGAAAAAACGTAGGCTTTGGGGATAATTTTTTTAAATTTCATTTACATGATGTAGAATTTGTGTTGAGTTTTATGTGTATCTTGTTTGCATTTTAACTATATGTGACTAAACAAATTGAAACAAAACACTAAGGCTTTATTCGTTTGATGGGAAAGTCATACAAGAAAGTGTATTATGGGAAAAGCGAAGTGAAATGAGGTAAAGGAAAAGGAAACTAAATTTCCTGCATGTGTTAGATTAACAAGAAAATGATGAATGAAAATACAAATTCTTGTGTTTGTTTATCTACAAAGTTACGAAAAAATTAGCTAGTGTGCTCGTTAATTGAAATATTCTATATTGAATTTCTTCTTTTTTTTGGTGTTTAAAATATGTAATAAATATAAAGTTTTGCATATTGAAAGAGTTGTTTACCTCAAATTTAGTCACATTCTTTAATAGTAAGTTGGTATATAAAGACACAGATATATGTATTATATATATATGGGCATGTAATGTGTGTGTGTATATAATTTGTTTGTATATGAGTTATTTCACAAATATATAGACATAAAAAAGAGTATAAAGTGTAAAAGAAAAAAACAAATATCGTATAAATCCAACAAATTACTTATTTATTAATGGAATAAAATAAGAATAAAATTTCCATTTTCGATGGTTGTGATGGAATATGCTTTCCATCGATTGCGCCTACAGCATTATATGAATTTCATAAATGGGTTAGTTACTAGGTCCCTAATTGCATTAAATACGCAAAGACCACTCCACTCTTTGGTAAATATCAATAGTAATATTTCGGAAATTAATTATGAATAAGGGTGAAAATTTTATTATCATAAATCACTGGACGAATCTCCAATCCATGTAAATCTTTGGATGTACTTGGTTTTGGCATCTAGGACATATAAGATATTTTCCAAACTCACAAAAACCGGTAGGACTTCATGAATGTTCTTGCATGTAGTCTTGGGGGAACGCTGAAACCATTCAACTAGGCAAACGCATTTGATATATATGACTCAACATCACTGAGGTCATGGACACTGTCTCTTCTATTTGGACTCTTTTTTTGGGTATTGTGGGACATATCCTCCACTTATTAGAATTTCACAGAAGCGAATGAAAGAGTCTACCGTGACTCGACAGTTCTCAAGTACCCTCGTTGGATGACCATGAGTTACTTCTTGTACATAATCTCATCCCCGTGACATGCTATTTCTACGTGGTAGTGGCAATATATAATCCATTGCCCATTCAACAACAGGGTTGAGCAATACAATAATTGCCCACTGTGGTAGTTGCCCATCCTCCTCCTCCTCGTCATCATTTTTAATGATGTTCCATGTATTCGAGATACCAGCCATGTTTATGCTTCCACAATCTAGGGAACCTACACCATTACTTTAATCATCGACTTCAGAGTACCCTCTAGAGGCACAAGATTCATTGCTTTAACATCTATCCAAATTTCGTAAGACAAATGGCATTGAAAAGAGAGTTGGTTATGACGAATTTACCTCCAAAGGGATATTGTTACACGTGCTTAGAAAAGCCTCCATCATCAACCTTCAATTCACTTGATAGATGCCTGACTCCTTCCTATAACAAGGGTTACAATTTATAAGCAATTGATGCATATTACCATTGTTAAAGGCTGCAACATAACAGCAGAGTTGCTTGGATTTTAGTATGCCTACATTGTGCTTTATTTGTCCATTATCCATGAGTGGATGCAACTGGGAACAGAAATTGGGGAGCAAAGACTATCAAATTTATTTCTCCAGGCACCAATGTTATCTGCATTTTCGGGGAATGATGTACCAATCAAATCAAAGGCCTTACATTTGTGCATGCATTAGACTGTGCAATAGTTTGGCATTCCTATTTTGCCGACATCAATTGCTCCCACCTATATCTTAAATTGATACATCTCAAATATTACCAAACTCAGCTACTGTTACTAGCACTTTACCACATCACAAGCTTTTCAATTCCAATAGTCAGGCTTATTTTAAAAATCAATTTGGTTTGTGAAAATTTTTTTAACAAGTTTCTTCTCAAAAACAAAAAAACAAAAAACCTTTCATGGTTGGTTGGTGGAAAAAAATTTTAATGAGTTTCTGCTTAAACGAAAATCATTTCCTATACATTTATGTGTGTGTGCGCGCATGCTCATGCACCTCCAACGATATATTCTACTAATTATCAAGTAATATATTGGTAATAAATAATAAAATGGCATATTGCAAGTTGCAAGAGACGCTTCTTTTTACAAACCAAACTAGGAATATAGAGAAAAGTGCACAAGGGCGTCCACTTTGCATCAAAGTACACATGACAATCACAAAATGGTGTCCAACTGCCGAATGCCTACGAAAGATGTACATATTAGTGCTACATTGGAAAATGTCTTACCACTTGTAGGCTCCCACGGAGTGATCACGAAGGATGCACATGTGGACTACAATACTTCAAATGCCCGGGATGTAGCTAGTCTTTTGGGAGTTTGAGGTCCATAATAGTATGAGCCCAATAGTCCTAAAAGCTTTTGTCAAATTGAAGGAATACGTGACACCACCTTTCACTCTTTTCTATCTCTTTCATGCATGCAATGCCAAAGTTCTATGGGATTTTGTTTCAACAAGTAGTGTCCATATACCTTTAAGGTAGCAACACACCATTCGTTACATCTTTGATTTTCTTTAAGCTTCATCTGTGACAACTTATTGATGTTGGTAGCTGCATCTCTTAGGGCATCCCTGATTTTTTCAGACGGGATCCACTATCCATTATGTCTGTCCACTTCCCTGTCCAATGCAAAATTATGTAGTTCCACTTACTAACGCTGCTGATGTGGCACTTGACTTAACTTCAGACGTTTGGCTGCCATACGCTTCTTCTTCTTTGTTTTTTTTTCCCAGAAACACCATTTAATTTAGATTACTACAACGACAGTTTCCTACTTTCATCTCTGGCAATCCATTATCAATTGCATCAACTGAAAGAAAGACTAGCATGTCTCTATGGAAAATCATGCTTTGGTCTATATATTTTTTCTGTAGCATATATCCAATTCATTTGCAATTATATGGTTATGTGCTTGGATTCATACTTTGGGTCAATTTCAATATTTTATGGAAAAGAATTCAATGTTCATGCGAAAGAATTCTAAGCATTGGTGGACTCCAATGTAAAACAGGTATGTGGTAATTATTTTTTTAAGCCTTATCCCAGCCCTTGTAAAAGTTGTCTCACCATCTGTTTAATATTATGTCTCTAAGAAATTCTCATAACTTGCCTTATTCATTTTCCTTGAAGTTTTGTCTTTCTCTCTTATCCTTGTTATCTATTATTTTTTCTAGAATTTGTCCGGTTAAACACAAGTGAAATAAAGAGTGAAGTTTTGTAAAGTTGTTATAACCTAATTTATTACATATACTCTAATTTTTTAGTTGCATGATTATGTTTTCTGTTAGGTAGTACATTAATAATTCTCTTTGACCAAAATGTGCTTCAATATTACTATATTTTGGTTACTGTTGCTTAAAAATTTACTTTCTGGTTTCATGGAATGAATTACTAATCATTGTACTTCTGTTTTGTTGGCTATTAGATCTCTACCTTCAGATTTTACCACCGGTAATAAAAAGGATGGGTGAGAACCTTCTCTAGTGAAAGAGAAAAGTCAGGAAGAGAGTGCAAGGAGTGGATGATAATAGTCTATGATCTCTCAAGCTCAGCTGTTGCAGCTGCCTCAATGATCACTCCCCTTTGTTCTGTCCCCCAATTCTGATCGAGTTCTCAATCAAGTCCCAGGGCTTGGCTCATCCTCCAGCCTAATGAAAAAGGGCGGACATTTTTGCATTGACAATGTAAGGAAAGATTCAGTTCTGAGTTTACTGTTGCTCGTTTGAGGATTTGTCATGGGATTAAGTGTAGAAGCTGAAGGGAAAGTAGGCAAATCAATAGTTCAAGTAGGGGTACAACATGTAACCCACATGGCCGATGCAGCCTTGTTTTTTACACTTTCACCTGCCAAAGACCTCAGTATGGATGCTTGTCGCCTTTTTTCACATAAGCTCAAGAAAGAGCTTTGCCCAGATGATCAAGACTCACTCTCATAAGAACTTTCCTAACACCAAATTCAATTCTTTTTTCTTTTGATGCAGATGATAACCTTCGGTTTTTGCTGACCTCGGTTTGAGCATGGAAGGTGCCTCTTTTTCAATAAAACCAAAAGACTATTTTTCTTACTCAATCCTCACATTTTTGGAGAAACTTTTACAAGGGCTGGGATAAGGCTTAAAAAAATAACCTGAGGGTTGTCTCTCATTACAGAACTAAGTATTGTGTGCATTGCAGATTGACATTGTAAAAGAATGAGTTAAATGTTTGATACAATAATCATATTTATTAATTCTTTACAGCTTGTTATAACCTAATTATTTGCAGTTTTCTTTCTCTCCCTCCCTTC